ACACAACCCACTCGACAATCTAGAAAGCCTCTATCAGCCAGTTGAAAGAAAACACGAAACCGAAGACCACCTGAGCTTCCTAAGGACTAACCTGAAGGACTACACATCCAGTACAAGTGAGAACGTTAGGAACTTCGTAATGGCGATCACGCCAGTGTTGATCTTGCCATAGAAGTACACTATGTTCTTAGTACTGAAAAGCTCTACTCCTTTCCGAGAGCTTAGGACCATCCGAGAATCCTCATGGAGACATCGTCCGACCCTTTTCAGGCCGCTACTACTTTCGGATATACCAGAAGGTTCACATTCGATCGACTCACTTCTCAGACTTGATACGTGAATTCCCGATAACACTCTTTGTACCTCACTCATCTTGATAGAATCCATCGAGAACCCTAACCTTGTAGATACACCAGTTGGAACCCACTAGCTACACGAGACAGAATATGCATCCCGTACGCGAGGGTCTGTTGAAATGACAAACACGGACCAGAGATCACTTGGGGATGCAAGGACAACTACATAGGAAGTACTCTCTTACCTCTACTTGGCCATTCATACCTACTTCCTTGCCTATATCTGAATTTCGGGACGAAATTCCCTCTAACGGGGGGATGATGTGACAACCCAAGTTGTCCCGTTACATTTCTCCGTTACCGTTAACGGAATTTTCCACTGTTCAAAAGTTTCGTTAATAAGAAACCGTCAAATTTAATAAACATTTCAATTGTGTATGTTTACATGTCGTTAAGTCGTGAAAAAGGAAATAAAACACAGGACACACATTTTCATTCATTTGGAAAATGTCAAGTTTTATTATTACGACCACTAAATCGGGTGCGACCAAAAGCCCCGTTTAACGGCAGTATCGGGTAGACTTCCACTGTGTCCCAACTCAAAACCCTATATAAGGGTGAGTGGAGTCTATTGGAGACTTTTTACACTCTCTCTATACTCTCTCTCTAGACCCGTTTTCGCCCCGAAACCGCAACCAAACGCTTCCAAATAGTAAGTCCGCTTACCCTAGCTTATTCTAAACATATTGAATTGAGTTTATAGCCCAAAAAGCGGACTTAGAAGCAATGAAAAAGGAGTTTACGGCCTAAGAACCTCCTTAGGCCGTAAACACCCAAAATGAGGCCAAAATGACCCAAACTTGTCCCAAATGGCTTGGAAATAAATAGAAGAATTAGCCTAGGAGTGTTTGCACATTTAAAACAATCATTTTGTGGCATAAAAGAGAGTTTACGGCCCAAGCACATGCTTAGGCCATAAACACCTCTAAACCTTGTTTAAATGTCTCAAAAACACTCCCAAACCACACTAGGGCTTAACACATAAATTAAGGGCTTATTCCTTTGGGTTTGGATCACTTAAACACATCAAAATGAAGGATGAAAATGAGTTTACGGCCCAAGCACATGCTTAGGCCGTAAACTCCCCAAACATGCCCAAAATGTTGGTTTGTGTCCCCCAAATGGCCTTAGACTATTTCTATAAAATGCTAGGAAGGATTTAAGGACTTAAACACAATGAAATGAGGCTTGATTTGGAGTTTACAGCCCAAGCATTTATCTAGGCCGTAAACTCCCCAAAACCCCCTCAAATGTTGATTTTTATCACCCAAAATAGCATCAAACTTCATAAGAAAATTCTAGGAAGGCAATAGGGGTTTAAAACTTCACTAAACTCAAAGGTTGAGAGTTTACGGCCGTAAACTACCTTGGGAGAGTTCCTAGGCCGTAAACTCTTGTTTAGTACCCTTAGAGGCCTCAAACCCACACATACCTTTTAGGAAAAGTGCTTGGAATAATTCTATGAACAAGCTAGAAGCATCAAACACCCAAGAAATTGAACTTGGGAGTTTACGGCCGTAAACTCCCTTAGGTTGGGCCGTAAACTCCTTGTTTGGTCCATGTTGGTGTTTTAAATCCATTTACACACTTGATATGTGAGTATAGCAAAGTCCCACAACTGATAAGAGACCCTTAGCACCCGTAAACGCTACCCGGGACCCCAAACACTCAACCAAAAGTGTTTTCCACTCCTTTGAGTGTGTATAATTGTTTAATTAGTATATTATATGCTAATTGTATGTGAACATATGTTATCATATGTTAAAATAGGTCTTTGTGTGTGTTCAAGTCCTTGCGTGACCCCGAACGCCCAATCGGCACTTTCGTCGGACCTACTTACACCAGGTGAGTTCATACCCCTGAATGAACCTTTTAAATGCTTTTAAATGTTTTATAGGGGGGATACAAGTTAAACATGCCAGTTATCATGTCAATCGCATATGATTGATAACCCGCATGCACAAGATTTTACCACTTTTACACTGTTTTACCGAGTAGGACACTAAAATGACTTTTACCTGTTTGATAACTTTTACTTATACTGATTTATTCAAATTAATCCTAAATTGGTTTATGAAAGATCCTCTAAGGTTTTAAATGTATTTTACAAAGGAATACAATTTGTGATTTTCTCTGTACATAAAGGCTTTTCATTAAAGATTTCCCTTTTTGACTTATACTTTTACTTGTTAAACACTGCTGCTTCACTTATACTTATTTTATACTCTGACTCGGTAACACTTTCACTTATACCTATAGTCGCTTATACTTGATGACGCTTATACTTATTCACGCTCTTACTTAGTGATACGATTTCTCCTTCACTTATACTGGATAACGACTTTACTCCACTTATACTTGATAGACGTTCTTACATCACTTATTGTCGTCTCGGCTTCGTGATACACTTATACTTGGTATGCTTATACTTCATGGTTCGATTATCCCACACTGTACACGTATACTTCACGACTCGGATGTTCCACTATACTCTTATACTTCACGACTCAGATGTTCCACTGTACACTTATACTTCACTGTATGATACACACTCAAGCGTAGTTAGATGTATGTTTATGCTTGTATAGATGCATATAAATAATGATTGAAGGACTTAGGAAGGCTTGTCCGCCCTATTTCCTTTTCTTCGTTGAGATGTGGTCTGGTGGGATCGGATGTCCATCTGAAGGTCGTTCGATTCATTAGTTATATATTATGTATACGAGCATAGACATACGAGTTTTCTTCAGTCAATTCAGTTAAGAATCTATACCTCTAGTCTACACTTACACAAGAAACCCACTCTCCTAGTAACACACTATCCTCTATTTGGGATGCATCTTCGGGACGCGGCCTTCTCCGTCGTCTAGTTGGTAACCAGAGTCTCCTGTAGGGAGAGCGGACATTGTGTGTATAGGCCTATACGGGATTGACAACCCCGCACCCTGACTGCTAGCTACAGTCCACGGCCTACCAAGCTAAGGGGTGACAAATGTCACATTATATAGATGCTTGTAGGGCGTCTAGTACTCTAGTCAGTATGGTTACCAGTATCCTGGGTTGCCTTATAATTCATGGCTTTAAGGTAACGGTATTTCGTCAGCGATTTACACTGTATGCTGATATCACTGTTTTTCAGAGTCACACTGTTTGACCTTACAAGATGTATCTTTCATTTGATACCGTCTGGGGTCTGTTATCTCTGTTTGACCTTACAAGATGTATCTTTCATTTGATACCGTCTGGGGTCTGTTATCTCTGTTTGACCTTACAAGATGTATCTTTCATTTGATACCGTCTGGGGTCTATTATCTCCGTTTGACCTTACAAGATGTATCTTTCATTTGATACCGTCTGGGGTCTGTTATCTCTATTTGACCTTGCGAGATGTACCTTTCGTTTGGTATCGTCTGCGGTCTATCTTCATTGTTATGACCTTGCAAGATGTACCTTTCATTTGGTATCGTCTTCGGTCTGCGTTCACTATTTTAGACCTTACCAGTTGTACCTTTCATTTGGTACCTTCTGGGGTCTGTGTCTTCATTTGTTAGACTGAACCAGGTGTGTCGTTAGTTCGATACTTTCCTGGAGTCTATGACTCTTTTGCCTTAGTCAGCAGTCCTCACTGCTGAGGCATATGTTGTTCCCTGATGCCTCTGCTTTCTTTAATAATCAAATTCAGTATTTTGATACTAATAGCAATTAAGGGAAACTTCTTCTTACCACATTACACTGACCAGTCTATGTAGAAGGCTGCTTTTATTAAAGAAAATATAGGATTTTCTGGAAAGAACGCTAATACACTGAAATCACTTAAACTACTGCTTTATAAAGTTATTTGACTAAATGACACTAAATACTTATGAACTCACCAGCATTGTAAAAATGCTGATACTCGCTTTTCAAATAACTTGTATTCTCAGGTTAGCATTAGACAGGTACATCCCCGGAGCTGATGATGAAGATAGCTTAGTACCACGCTGTATTTATTCTATTACTTGTATTACTTTAAATTGTTGTAATGTAACCTTGTAAAACTATTACTATTAATGCAATGTTTTGTTGTACTTTGATTACTATAATGCATGTGTTGTGATACTTGACATGACGTCATCCACCCCAGAATGTTTCCGCCGTTCCGGTTTTGGGGTGTGACATTTAAAAAGCATGCAAATTTGAAAATAATAGAGTTTTATGGATTGAAGGTGAAAGAGTTATGTTCTGCATATAAAGCTTTTCGTCATAGTAATTATAAATGCGAATATTCTTTTGAGTCATGTGAAAAAAAGCAGTAGTTATGATGATAAGTTTGATGAATTTCGAGATTTTGGGCAGTCTATTAACAACATCGTTGGTGTTAATAAATATGGATTGGCAAATTCGTTTGGCAAATCTTGATGTATTCAAACTAAGTTGCATGTGGATTGCGAGGGTGGTCATTAGGAAAAGTGTGTAGTTGAGGGTATTCCTTCTTTTAATTTAGGAATTGAGGATGACATGTATACTCCTCCAAAAGTGAATGCAGGTGTTGATAGTTATGTTAGTAATAATTGTGTTTCTATTGGAATAAGTTCTGCTTGAGGCAAAGGAAATGTACTTAAATCTCATGATGAAAGTGGAAAAGTTAAAATACTTGAGAATGATATGATTTCATCGAGACCAAAGAGAAGTCAAACGTTACCTCCAGTGCTTAGGTATCCATTTGTTGTACGAGCTGTTGAGATTGATAGTAATTTGATGAAGGAGGAGAATATCCAGTCTAATTGGCTATTCAGTTTATGTGGGAATCCAAGGTAATGTGTTTGTGTATATGTATATATATTTTTATATATAATGAATATTTAATTAAATGTATTTTTTTTTATTTTAATAGGGATGATCTTTTTCATAGCATAAATGGACAACGTGGGGAAAGATACATGTTTGAGAGCTTATATCCGAGAGAATTTCTTTTTTCTAGGACTATTGATTGTTCTGTTGAAGTGTTGAACTATGATGAGAGAGCTAGTAATTTGGACACTCCTTCATGTTTCTTCTTCAAAACAGCAATATTGGTACGTATACTAATTGTTAGTTATTGTTTTCATATTATTATGATGTTAATTGAATTGTTGTTTTGTATTTAGGATCCTGCATACATGCATAGTGAAGCATGTATATGATGATGTGTACCAGAATTTTAAAGAAAATGTTTTTCATTGTTTGGGAGAGTCTAAAGAACGAAGAAATTTAAAAGGAATTGATTTGGTAAGTTTAGATTTTCTTTGTAAATTTTATTCCTTTTGTGTTTGTATCTTAGTGTGAATTTGATTATTTTTATTTAGGTGTTCTTTCCTGCATGTGCAAACAATCACCATTTTGTGTTTGTTTTTTATTTTAAAAACCGCAAAGCTATCATATTGGACAACATATTATATAGATCTTCTGAAAAACCATACCCACATCTAACTCAAAATCTGGTAAGTTTGTTTGTTTTTTTTTGTTTAAATGTTTATTTATATTCATGAATTATATTTTTTTTATAATGGGTATTGAATTTTTGTTTATATTTAAATGCAGAAATATATGTTTGGTAGATATCTTCAAGACATAAAACATTTTATGGCTTTTTCAGTTATATATGAAATGGAATTTGTTGATCAATATATGATGTGGAAAACAAGAGGTAACAATAATGATTGTGGGATTTTTTTGATGTGTCATATGGAAACTTATAAAGGTGGTCCTTTAGCTCAATGGACATGTGAGTTTAAAATGGAAAGTGTTGAGCAGATTTTGCAACTTAGAAATCTTCGAAAACGATATTCTATGAAAATTCTTTTGAGTGAAGTGAATCTAATGAAAAGTGAAGTTGAGCAACTTCTTGTTGATTATCAAAAGCTTTCTGCAAATGACAGGCGTGTAATGTATCATGAAGGCATTATCAATATAGCAGGTTGGTTAGCTGCATTTGGTACTTGATATATATTTTGTTGAGGTAAACAGCAAGTCGTTATGTTTATGTAGAAGTATTCATAGTAATGGTTATGAATGAGTAAGTAGAACAATTTGTTATGAAGTATTTTAAATGTGTGTTTGTATTTGGTTGTTTTTGTTTAGGTTGAATTTAATGTACTTCTACAAACATAAGTTTATAATAATATAGGAAAAGTGTGACTACGTTTTTTTGTTTTTGATTTTGATTGTATATGTATAATCATTTTTAAAGTTAACATATTTACAATCATATAAAATATTAACATATTTAAAACCATGATATCTACAATTTTTAAAACCATCATATCTATAATTTTCAGAGTAACATATCAACAATAATAGATAATATTAACATACTAACAACCACATCGATAATATTTATAAATATATAACAGTCATCCCAAAAGTTAGAGCACATCAACATATTATATAAACAACAAAATATGCATAATAACACCATTTCCTTAAATCTAAAAACCCAAAAACCCAAAATCCCACCTTTTCACCTTGCAACTTCATCTACTTCCCCAGAAGATTCACTTGATACTTTGTGTAATCCAAAGCTTCAATGAGTTTGTCAACATTTATCCAAAAGTTGAATTTGTCAAAAAGCATGATCCTAGCCTCCCAAATAGTAAATTTTGGATTTGATGCAACCAGTGAATAGAGTTTTGTGCACAGATAACTGTTGGTTGCAAAGTTTAATGTTTTTGGGAAGAAGTTTGTAACAGTGGTTTGATTATGCTCCAAATAAACTTGTTGAACACAAAAAAACCCATCTGTTTTAACTTTTTTGACAAAGTTCAAGAAATCATTCCAATAAGCAAGCCTGTTTAGACCAATGTCTAAGGGAGCAAAAAAGACTAAAGAGTATGCAAATGTTGTGGCAACATCATAATCAAAAGAACTTAAGATGGTATGAAAAACCTTTGGAGAGAAAGTTTCAACCTCGATGAAGTCTATATAGTTAATGTTGCCTCCAATGTAATCTCGATTTTGGTAGTAGTGGAAACTACCTCCATGGTTTAGCATCATCGTGAAGTACTTTTTGTTTTCCCACCATGAATGAAGATTGAAAAGAAGATTATATAAGTATTACTAGTATAAGATTTTAACAATAAAGAACATATCATATGTGTCGTAAAGATCAAGATAATTCGAGGAGTTCCGAACTACCCAAAGCGATGATTCAGAATCCATCAATGGATAGTTTATTTTTGTTTAAGTTTATGGTGATGTTGATGAGGAATATATAGCGGTAACAATTGGAGTTAGTAAGGGAGATAATTAATTTTCTGCCATCATTTGCTTCAAAAAGTATTGTATTCTATTTTGGCGGTTGTAGGTTTAGGTTATAATGGTATCTATACATTGAAGATGATAATCTTTATCTTCTTATGAATTAATTTTTTTTTAAACAAACGAATCGGTATATATTATCTTCTTTTATTAAATTGATATAAAGAAAATATTTTTTTTGTATGTTATTATGAAATTATAGTCTTGTTATTATTTATAGTTTTTACATTATATTTTTAGTAATTATTAATTTTTTTTAAATATAAAATATAAAGTTAATATTAGATGAAAAGCTTTTTATGTGAAAGGATTGTTTGTATTTATTGTAATTAAGTCGATTTGACTTCTGTATTTATGAATATTTATATTTTTCATAATTGTTTATTCTGAATAGATTTAAGTAATAAATGAAAGATTTTATTAGGTAATAAAGTATTATATATTTCGGAAGATTAGTTATATATATATATATATATATATATATACATACATGTATAAGTTATAACTAATATTATATTTTTCAATCACATTATATTTAATATTTTCAAGTAAAATGATTCTGAAGATGTAGTTGATGATTTGAAATACTCTTAACATATATTTCGGAAGATTCGTGGCATATATATATATATATATATATATGTGTGTGTGTGTGTGTGTGTGTAAGTTATAACTAATAATATATATTTCAATATAATGTATATTTTTCATCAAAATAAGATGTATGACAAACAAATGAGGTTGTGTAAATTTTGCAATAAGTTGGTTCAACATGATTCTAGAAATTGTCCATTTGTCAAAAGACATGCTCAAAAGAGTTTCAGAGAAGATTTTGAAGGAAAAAGATTTGGTAAGTACTTCAAAAGGATTGGTTTTCATGATGAAATGAATTCTGCTTATGATAAGTGAGAGTAGAATGTTTTTGTTATTATTACAATAAGTTATGATTTTAAAGTGCGATATTTTTTATTTGAATGTTTTGCAATAATGTTTCGTTTATATATTCAATTGTAATGTCGTTTGAAACATATTTTATTAGTGTTTTGTATTACTATTTCTTATAATAAATTCATATATGTTTTTGTATATGAAATTAAAACAGTAAACTATTACATTATCTATAATAAATATTATAATAAACTTCCGAATCTTTTCATGCTTTTAATATTAAGAGTTTTAATATAGAGAAGCATAACAACAAACAAAACTAAAATTCAAATATAAGTTACTGCTGTTTTTTGAAATGCTTAAGCACATTTGAAGGATTTATTGGGCAATTTCTTATATCATGGTTGACTAATTTCTTGCATCCTTTGCATTTGCGTTTTGGTTTAAGTGATTTTGCTATTGCTTTTTCTGCAACACTTTTGATTCGATTCCTCTTTCCACTTACTTTTGTTTTTATCCCACTTGGTACTTTGATTTTCACATCAGTTGAAATTGGAACTCCAATGATATTTTCAACCACATCTTTTATTGGATTGAACTTGATCTAGAAGAAAAATCCTTTCCACAAGTTTCACTTAATTGTTGAAGAGAGTTCACCAATTCTTGTAATTTTTCTTTGTCATGAATAACCGATTCAAGGCATTTCTCATAAAAAGAAGTAGCATCTTGCAAGAGATTTGAAATTTCTGTACTGCACACTCTCCATTTTTGGTTTATCTTTTGAAAACCAATATCCACTATGTTCTTTCTCCATCTATCCAGAATGTATTTTTCAGGTATCATGGCAATGTCATAATCTATAAGAACTCTCAAAGCATGACTACAAAGGATTCCAAAAAATGTGAAATGCAAACATTCACATTCAATTGTTTAATCTTTTGCATCAAAAGAAACCTGAGCCATAATAATAAAATTTAATTACACAAATATTATTATAAAGTCTAAATAATGTTAAATTAAAATAATAATTAAGTAGCATATTTGCATACCTTAAATTCCGGTCGTTTGCCTGACTTTATTTCTTTGTATACAATTGTGCATTGTTGATGACCATCAATCAAAACAGAATTTTTTTGAAAACACTATAGAATGCCTTTTTCATTTGTTTTTGCACTTTTAGGAATGCTTCTTGTGTGTATACCAATGATGCATGCTTTTCTATTTTCAAATTTTCATTTGGAAATAACAGTTGTGGAGAAGTATCTCTTGATGCAATATCTAATCTTTTTTGTTCATGACGCTACTTTGAAAGTGCAGTGTCATAGTTGAACATAAAATTAACAAGTAAGTTGGTTGGACTTGAGAAAACATTGAAAAATGAATTAGAACTTTCAGATCGAGATGTAGTCTTCATAAGTCCACACATTGGTATATCTCTGAAATATGAGGGAATCCATTTTTCTCTCTTGTTGAACATATCAGCCAACCATTTATTATCCTTCAAATGAAATTCATTCAACATCAAATCCCATTTGTTCTCAAATTCTGATGGTTCAATATTCATATTCCAAACTAGTTGATTTATGCGTTTCTTGAAATCTGAATTTGAAACTAAATCAGGTTCAATCTGTCATGTTAAATTTGTTTTTATTATTATATTTTCATGAGCTATTTTTAATTCAATAAATTAAATTTTTTGTTACCTTTGATGGCATTTTTGACATTATGTGCCACATACATAATCTGTGAGTACATCCTTGAAACACCTTTGCAATTGAAGAAGATAATGTTGCATCCATGTCTGACAGAATCATTGTTGGTTTCTTTTTATGTGATGACAAAAAAGCTTCTGATAACCAAGAGTATGATTCAATTGTTTCATCTGATATTACTCCTGCTCCAACATTGATTGTCTTTTCATGGTTGTTTATGTTGGATAAGGTGTCTAAGTCCATAAATTATTTGGTACATACTTGACTCGACCCAACATGGTCCATTTGGGTTGCATTTCATCCAAACTATTTATGGATAATTTTATGAGAGTTATACACATATGTTTATTAATATATTATAAGTTATAATATATTAATATGAAGTCATGTTATTTAATTAGTCTTAGTCTTAAATTAATTATGAATTAATTTAGAGATTAAAAGGAAGACTAATTAGATTGTGGGCTATTGGTTTTATATGGTGTGGGCTAACACTCATTTGTTAATGGGCTAGGCTTGTATGGAAGTCCATGGATGATCCATGGAGCTTTTAACCCATGGATCCTTGGAAAAGGAAAGGTCATGGGTTATTTGGGTTTCACCCTAATCATGTACACTATATAAGCATGCTTATGTTGCATGAAATAGCCACTAGTGGTGTCACACCCCGAAAACCGAAGGCGGAATACATTTCCGGGGTTGACTACCGTGTTGAGTATCAAATCCAATGTACATAGTAAGCAAAGTAAAACAAGCATTACATTACATAATAACAGTTTTACAGTTGTTTCAAAAGTAAAGTTTGTACAGTTGTGATACATAGTATATATAGACAAGATGTAACGAGTCTTCATGTACACCGTCTTCATGCAAAAGGATCTTCGGGTACCTGTTCTAACGCTGACCTGAGAACACAAGCGGTTTGAAAATCAGCATAAAGCTGGTGAGTTCATAAGCGGTTTTGTTTTACAAAAATGTATCGGTTTCCTTTCTGTTTCTGAAATGTTATGTACACCAAGAAAATCCCGTATTTTCTTAAAAGTTGGTTATTGTTTCACAAATGTAAAGTATAGTAAGTTTGTACAC